ATTTACAGTGATATATATTTGAGTTGTGAAAAATTTAAATAAATGTATTGATTGATATTTACTTATTCTCAACGATTATTTGGATCTCTTCATAAGTTGGAGAAGTGTTTGGCAAATGACCTTTAACCCTTAAAAAGTGCAAGGTAATGCATTTGAGTTATCATTGAGAATACTGTATACAGTTTTGGTTTCCTTATCTAAGAAAGAATACTTATTTATTGGAAAAAGTTCAGAGGAAGTTTACTAGGATAATTACAGAGATGGAAGATATGTATTGGGGAAAAAATTATGATCTCTTAACTTACTTTCTCTTGAGGAAAGCGTGGCGAAAGATCATTTTTCTGAAGTTTACAAGAGTATTTAGTATATTGAAAGGATAAAAACTTTTTATTTCTTTGTGCTATATAATGAAGATAATAAGACAAGAGGAGACACATTTGAGGTTTGTAAAAAAAAAGACAGACTAGCCTCCAGTTAATCAGTTTTACCTTGTAACAGGGCAAATGGCTTATGGAATGAGTTACCATTTGGCAGTGATGGAGGCCAGAACTTCACAAATGTTTAAGAAAAAGCTGATTATTTTCCTGAAAAATTAAAGGTGTCTTTCCAGTTTTACTTTCCTTAAATGAGGGTGTGCAAGAACAATCTGGAAGGACCAATATTCTCCCTTGTTGTTCATAAGTTATGTTATAAGAGTAGTGTCTTTTTTACTTTTGTTGGGACAGATAACTGGAAAACATGAATCCTAACCGAGCATGCTGCTTTAAACATCCAACAGAAGTAAGGAGCAACTGAAGCTGCTCAATTGATAAGAAAAGGTAAACTTCTATAAACAGTTATACAGTGGACATTTTAGGGTAATTGGCTCTAAATATGCTGAATGGGAATGTTAGAAACCATCTTAAAGTAGCCCATCCTGTAACAAAAGCAAAAACAGCCTTACATGGACTTACCCTGGCAATTCAAACTGCTTGAGAGCATAAGAGTCAATACAGACAAAGACTAGTGAAGCCTTAAAAAGGAAAATTTTTTCATTTTATAGCTGAAGTCACTCAAAAACCAACAAAGGAAATGGATCAAGTTTGCTTACAGATGTAAGGTTAATGTGAATTTTAATGGTGTGGAATCTGTCATCTTACTGTAATGGAGCAATGGCATGGCCATCTATACATCTATGTATGTGACCGAAATAATAAATAGAATGACGCCATCTGTTGTGCTGAAATACAGCAAGATCTCAATGTCAGAAGTGGTGACTGAGGCTTGTGACATGTGGCACCATTTATTGAATGGCACCACAAACAACAATCCATAAAAAAATTTCACACATTGGGTATTCAAGATTCAGACGATTATAAAAATAACTAAGGTATGTGCAACAACCATTTCTTTATAACAGTACACAATTTTAAAAAAAAGTACTTTCCTCACAACAAGAACACCACTTTCTCTAGGACTGTATGTGAGGGTTTAATTATATCTTTATTTATGTAATTTTTAAAAACAGGAGTTCTTAAAAACTATTAATTTTTCAATAAAAGGTAGCACTTTTAATATATGAAAACATTACAGTTTATATCAGTAAAATTTATGAAAATTTTTAGCTCTGTACATTGAATCATGATGCAATGACTTGCATATGACTAAAAAGCACAATCTGAATACTTTTCCCGTGCAGTACTTCCCAGAAAAATAACAACTTTTTTTTAAATGCTCACTTTTTTTACAATGAGGTATGAATACTAGGATTAGTAATTACTAGAACAAACAGCTGCCCTATTGGTGCATACAGCCACCCATATGGTGGAGTTTCTGTTAGTCAGACCCAATGCAGTTTAAACTCATCAGTCAATAGGATTATCCATCTAAGAGTTTCAGGGCTCAGATGATTAAAATTGTAATGAATATACAAGTGTGTGTGTGATAGAAAAAAAAATTAATAAAATATTAATCATAAGACAGTCACCGACATTTTTAAAGACAGGCCACAATATACCATGTAAGTTCAAAACTCATTCCAGTTTATAAAAAATATAGCCTAAAGCAGTGATATTGAGTACTAAATGTATTAAAATGCAGAAGTGGCTAAAATTTTGGAGAACTAGTTGGGAAAATAAAATTAAGACTGGTTTGCCTAGAGGCCTAATTTTGCATCTTGCATTGGTGAGCAATATAAAACCTTGTGTAGGACCAATAGTTTTGACAAAAAGGTTGGACTTCCAAATTTGTTTTTTACTTGAAATATATTTTTAACAGTTTTTCATTCAAATGATCTGTAATCCTTGAGTTTGTAAACAACTGCATGTAAAAACAATAATTTCATTACATTATTTACAAGGATAATTTTGGTATACTCAAAGGCATTAGAAGAATAAAATGATCGCTGTCAATGTACAAAGTGGGAGATTACATGTTTGTACCCTGTAAAGTTTGCAGAAAATGTTGATGTTTTCTATTGTTATTGTGTAACTTAAGTGAATTATCACGATATCCAAAATGTTTAAATTTAATAATACTTTCTACATCATTCTTCTGTGAAATATATTCTTTTAAAAAGGCACAAAATACAAATATACCTCAGTTACACTGGTCCTCGATTTTTTTAATTTTCACTTCAAGATAAGCCATTACAAAGTATACACATTTTACTTCTAATACCACCATATACAATGTCAGTATTGTTCCAGTAGTAAATATTTTTTCTTTGTTTATCAGAAAATTTAAATACAATAACAACACATAACCTTCTTATCTTACCTTTCTCACAGATTCAATGCTCTGATAAAAGAACTGAAACATCAACATAATGTGGTGCAACTGACCCTTTAAAATAGATTCTGGCATGTCTGTACTGCCACCTAGTGCCTTCAATTGAAATAAAGGAAAATACAAGTTTTTTTATATAAATCCAACATTGTAAGCATTTATTTTTTACTACATAAATTATTACACCTAATACAAAGTATAACTATTTATAACTACAAATTATCTTCATGTCATGTCCCATTTGCTGATATACAAACATTTGATAATTTTTAACTGTCTCAAGCAACCTGATGACAAGGAGAGGGCAATTTTAACAAGGTGAGTGTAAAAAACACTTAAATACACCATTTCGATTTTCGATACCTCACTACTATAAAGGCTTGGTTTGAAGTTTTCATTGGTGGTAGTGTCCAGG